TGGGCAACGCGGTGCGGGGGGGGGGGGGGGGGGGGGAATTGGCGTATTGTGGAACCTGGCCTTGGGACGGGGCTAGTTTCAATTTCTTTTTTTTACTGTTTCTGTATTTTTATTACTTTTCATTTTTTTATTCAATTATTTCTTCTTATTTTTGTAAATTGTTATTTGTTTATTTTTTAATCAATTAAATTTTTTTTGATTTTTTATTTATCTTTTTACTTTAACTTTTTTATAATTTACCTTTTTTATAATTTTTATCTTATTATTGTTTATAATTATTTTCTTATTTTTTACTTTTTAATCACCTTTTTATTTTGTTATTTAATTATTTAATATTATTTTTTAACATTCTTTTTTAATTTTTTTTTTTAAAATCAATGTAATTTTTTTTAACCTAACTTTATTGCTATCACACAGGAGAACCTGTAAACAGTGTTATTACACAAGAGTGAATGAACACTATACCACCCTGTAACATGCTTTCAGTTAAGGAAACCCATTGAATTCAATGTCCCAACTATCAGACATATCACAAAATGATTGCAGCAATACACCACACTGCATGTGCATAGTATTAGTGCATAGGGCATTTTTTAAATGTAATGGCAACGCAATGCATCAGCTCATGTATTAGGAGTTGACATACATACGATGTATAAATGTAAATGGGTGAATTTTATTTCTAAATTTAAATTTCTTTAATGTACCTCTAAGCTAAGAAAATGTAAATTAATTTCAATGATAAAAATATTTCTCTTACGCTGTACAACATCTCATCGTTCCATCTTTTTGACACCAACAGTCTTCACAGTTTTCAGTCTTCCACTGAGTACCACGTTTATGGGTTTCTCCTTTATGAGTACACCCTGGAGACAATTTATATTGTTTAGAAACAGCTTCAAAAACCTGAACACACAATTCGCACAAAGAACTTCAAAACAGTTTTGCCTTTACATGAATGTTAGAGCCACCTGGTGAGATTCAAGCCTGTGGACACTGTTGACCACTCACACCTATGCTTTGTGGTAAGGATTCGGATTATGTTCCTCATCAGTCTTTCCCACACACACACACTTACTAACAGAAATGTAATATAAATGTAAACAAATATAAATTCTGAACATTGCACAAGAAAACATGATATTTCTGATCCAGCTCTCAGGTCCATCACATAGGTTTGAATACCACATTCTTTCTTTAACCAAACTGAATCTCCTGCTCTAGGTAACAGTGACAATAGAAGGGGCAGTCCATTTTTGAAACAGTCCAGTGTATTTTCATGTGTATGTTAAGAGGTTCTGTGACTGGCAAGGGAAAGTTACAATGTTTATTCACCCCCTGCTCCCCTTGTCCAATTTAGCTTGATTTTAGAGCTGTAGGAGGGAGCCATTAGGTTTAGCCGCTACAGGCTGCCTGGAGAAAACTGCAGGAGGGGCGGATAGAAGACCAGTCATCCTGCACAAAAGAGAGCAGCAGTGACCGGTTTGCATTACAGGAAGCTCTTGCACAGAGGGAAAGTTTCACACTGGATGCCTACACAGACCTGAAAAAATACACAAAGCACACAAAGATTCAGGTAAGAATGCACATGCTTTTTGTATTAACACAATATTTGCTTATCCCGAGGGTTCAGCTTTAAATACATGTTGAACACAGAACTAAAAACAGAAATGGTAACATGTTTAGAGAATGTTTTGTCCAGTGTATTCTGTTGACTCTGACATACCCATAGGCTCTTTACCCATTTTCACTCCTTTAGGTGCTTGGTAAAAGCAGGCTGCATTACATACAGCCAATATACTGGCTCCGATCAGTACAACCCCAAGCTGTCTCTGAAATATAAAATGTCTCTTGTCAAAACAAACATGAACACTGCATGTACAGTGGTACCTCGGTTCACGAACTTAATTCGTTCCACGATTTTGGTCGCGAACCAAATTGGTAGCAAACCGAATCAAACTGTGATCAGACCGCAATTTCGACTAGAGGAAGCCACGAGCAGTGTCAGAGCAGGGAAGATGGCTGCAGTTGTGTTCGTCACCTGATGCAGAGTTTGTAAACGGAAGCGTTCGTGAACCGAGGTACCACTGTATAATTTAAAATCTACTTTTTTTTCCTGATAACAGTTATAAATGATTCTTTGTGCAGCAAATATAAACATCTTTTATTCTGTGTCTTAACTTAGAGAAGTCAACAACATATAAGAGAGCAAAACACAAGATGTAACGACATTACAGGACTTACTGAGGAAATGGACTATATTCATAGACGATAGAAGGGTAGCTGACAATAGTGGACAATAAGACTCTGTATATCCTCATAAGACTCAAAACCGACTAGAATCTTCCCAACTTGGTTGAAACATGGAGGTACACAAGGTAAATGCCTAATTCCCACAATATATAAAGGAATCATAGTCTACTGTTCCAAAGAGATTTCCCATTAATCTAACTGAAATCACTTCATGTGATGACAATTATTCTATTAGAATATCACTTTATGTTCCAGAAGTCACAATGTCAGAATATAAACTCAGAAATAACACCATTATTATATAACTAATGACAAGAGCCGTGAAGAACTTACCATCCTGCAGTGTTCTGTGCAGTCACTGAACACATAGAGGAGCCAGGATGTCTTATTTACACTCTGGAAATGGTCATTCTTGAGCAATCATTTTCCTGTGAAATGTTACAGCCACATGTTTTGCCAGATGGCCTATTTTGTTAACACTTAACTGTGGAAAGTAATTCAGCTTTTTCCAAATAAAGTCTATGTAAAGCCAAAGCTTTTGTTTAGCTTTAGACAGAGTGAGCAAGTAGTAAAAAAAAATGTCAGGTTTTTATTGTGCCTGCACTGGGGAAAGTCACCCCTCTCGGTTTGTCCTGGTGACCATTGTCTTCAGTATAGAAAGTGGTGGAAAATTATACCTTTTACAGTTGTCACAGGAAGTGAGAGGAAATCTTCCAATAAGGAATATTCATTCCAGTGACAACTGTCTAAGAATGGAAAATACCTGACAGTGTACTAAAGCTGGACTTCCGGGATTAAAAAAAAAACCCTTGAAATGCGAGCCCTGGACAAAGTCGTTTGAGACGAAAAGTATGTCGGGTAGAGTTTGCTGACACAAGGCGATATATGAGGCATTGCAAGGTTCTCACATGCAGAGGCATGACTCCTAGAGACAGATGCTTCATGGGATTTGTAGTTTTTGCCACAGCTGGAGGGCCGGAGGTTCCCAACCACTGTCCTAGAGTGTATGATACATGCATGTTTTTCATGTATAAAGTGCATAATTTTACATTTATCAACATTAAACCTCGTTTGCCACGTAGTTGCCCAATTAAACAGTGTATTCATGTGTGCTTGTAAGTTAGAGCCATCTTGTAATGACTTTATTCCACTGCATAGATAGGTGTCTTCTGCAAACACTAAAATGGTACGTTTAATCTCAAAATCTTTATTATTTATAAACGGGATAAAAATGGCTCAAGCGGTCCTTAGACCACCAGAGCAGAGGGTACAAGAGGCTGTGGGAACGGGTATAGCAGTCAGGTGAGATTAAGGATCAGGGGCCGTGCAGGGGTAGTGCAACTGCAAGGGTTGATTTTTTTGATTCCTGGAGTTCCTCTGTAAATTACAAAATACATTCTAAAGATATTGTTACAGTTTATATATGAATAAAGACTTTAGACACAGAAGCTGCTGCCAACTCTTCAGCTGTCAAATGAGACATGCCAGACAAGTGTAAGGACTAAATTGTGCCTCCATCCTTGCTTTTCCAACAACACATCCCTGCCCACATTGGATACATACAGTGAATATAAAAAGTCTACACACACCTGTAAAAATGCCAGGTTTTTGGGATGTTAAAAAAATCAGACAACCAAAATCAATTATTTCTGAATTTTTTCAACCTTTAATGTGACCTATAATCTATGCAATTCAATTAAAAACAAATTGAAATCTTTAAAGGGGGGGAAAATAAAAATAAAAAACTTACAATAATGTGGTTGAATAAATATGCACATCCTAAACTCATACTTTGTTGAAGCACCTTTTGCTGTAGGAATCTATCAGCATGGCACATCTTGCCATGGGAATCTTTGCCCATTCTTCCTTGTAGAAGTGCTCCAAATCTGTCAGATTGCGAGGGCATCTACTGTGCACAGCCCTCCTCAGGTGACCCCACAGATTTTCAATCGGATTCAGGTCTGGGCTCTGGTGGGCCATTCCAAAACTTTGATCTTCTTCTGGTGCAGCCATTCTTGATTTTGGAGATATGCTTTGGATCGTTGTTGTGCTGAAAGGTGAAACTCCTCTTCATCATCAGCTTTTAGGCAGAGACCTGAAGATTTTGTGCCAAAACTGACTGTATTTGGAACTGTTCATAAGTCCCTCCACCTTGATTAAGGCCCAGTTCCAGCTCAACAAAAACAGCCCCAAAGCATAATGCTGCCACCACCTTCCCTTACTGTGGGTATGGTGTTCTTTAGGTGATCAACAGTGTTGTTTCTGCGCCAAACGTACTTTTTGGAATCATAGGCACAAAGTTAAATCCGGGTTTCATCAGACCATAACACATTTCCCCACATGCTTTTGTCAGACTTGATGTAGGTTTTTGTAAAATGTAGTTGGGCTTGGATGTTTTTCTTAGTAGGAAAAGGCTTTTGTCTTGTAACCCTACCCCACACAAAAACAACTTTTTTCATTGCATCAAAGCACAGACAGTTGCCATCTGTGGTGCACTGCAACACATATGCATTGAGTGTGCTGGCATGCAAAATGATTGGCACTGCACTGCAGATTATGCATTACTGTGTGTTGTGATAGTGTGATAAAATGTGCATTTGTTTTTATATCTTATCATAATGCATGGGTGTGAAGCCAGCTTAACTCTTACAGGTATTTATCACCACCTAATCCTATGTTACTGCAGTCTTCCAGGCAACATTACTGGTGCTCCATTGAGGTGAGTTCATTCAACCTGACAGCCTGACAGAACTGTACAATTACCATGGGTGACACCCTACCCTGATTTACTGAAGGAGTAGAGCATATTTACTGTTTTTTTTTCATTTTCAATCATCTTTATTCATTTATTAAGTCATTTCAAAACAACATATAATTAACAACATCCAATTTCCACCACATTCTTCTCCATCATTAAGGGAACAATACACAAAAGAATTGCATTCTAAACAAACCTGAAGTACCCCTTATAACCTTTTCAAATTTCTACATACCTTCGTCACTCCCATCCTTACAAACCCCATTCGTTGTTCTCCTCACACCCTCCCCCCAAAAAACATCCTTATTAATTTTCCTCTCTCTCCCCATTCCCCCATACCTTCCCCAGTTTACATTTTAATCCTCAGACCCCAATTTTTATCTACTAATGTAAATTCGAGGGCCACTGACATGTAATTTTGCCCGTCTCCTTTGGCTCTCCTTCTCCTCTCTTCCCCTGCTCTTTATAAGATAAAGCTAAAGAGCAGGGTAAAGAGAGGAGAAGGAGAGCCGAAGGAGATGGGCGGACGTGTACGGCAGTACGATTTTTGGAAGGACACTGGGAGAGGATAGTGGTTTAGCACTGGATTGTCAAGATTCCCAGCTCTATGTGCACCTGTGGTCCTGCCGCACTGACTCTGAGAGAAGGTGGATTATTATCCTCATATCCTGGAAATGGATTCACATTGACCCCCAGGCCTTGAGTGAGTAGAGGGGAAGATAAACTCTATGGATTCTTGCTTCAATTTCCCTGGAGAAGCGCATTAGCAAAACGCGTTGGAAAGGAAACTAATGAAATATTACTGAAAATTATGAATTTGGAAAGAATACAATAAGCTAAGATGGATAACACATATGGAAAACTGTAATCATGTATAGTATGTACAAATGTGACCATTGGGCAAGAGTTGAGGAAATTATGATGCATATATGTTTTTAACGTAATCTATGGATTTTTAAGAAATTGTTAATAAATTTATATGAATTTAAAATGAAAGTCTGACACCTCTTTAAAACCCCATCACTACCTTGATCTGTAGACACATTTTTTGCTCAAAAAGAAAAAACGTATGTTCCAGAATGAAACGCATGCATTGGGAAATAAACTCCACCACTCAGGTGCATCACCCTTTAGCAAAAAGAACTCCAGTGCAGTCAGTCCAGCTTTTTCGTTTGCCTGAAGAAGGAACCGTGCTGGTTCGGAAACGTTGCTGTAAAATGCTACACTATTTCTAGTCAATAAACAAGATTGACTTGGCATTGCATTGGAGTGTGAGTGACTTCCTGTTTGGACCTCTGTTGCGCATGCACACAAATGTATTGCACTTATTTGCCCTCTGACCCTGAGAATGGGTATTCCGAGCTTACTCGTGGCAGGGGGCGGAGTCAAGCTAGCAGTGCTTCATCACGCTGCTTCCGCTTCTGCAACCCTCGTCACTTCATATTCACTTTTAAAGCAATTTTCAACTTATCTTGGTGAATGAGGTGAAACACAGTGAATATTCACTTAGCAAAGAATACCTAATCACGTGAATGACAGACTGACACTATGTAGTAGAACCACCACTGGATAGAGAATGTGTTTGAGATCTTCTCTGGGAGAGATACTGGACTTGTTCCTGAGGCCCATGCAATCTTGGCCTTCTTGGCTCCTCCAGCAGGTAAAGTGCTCTTCTGGTTCTCCACTCCAGACTGTTTCAGACCCCACCTGGGTTCGCAT